TGGCCCAGAGGGGAGGGGCCAGGTGGGGATCGTGCCCTTGGCCCAGAGTGGGAGGGGCCAAGTGGGGATCATGCCCTTGGCCCAGAGTGGGAGGGACCTGGTGGAGTTTTTTCCACAGAAGGGAGGTGCCGGGTGCGGCTCGTGTTCCTGGCCGGCAGGTAGATGTGCCAAGTGGGGGTCGTGCCCTTGGCCTGGAGGAGGAAGTGCAGGATGCGGATCACGTCCCTGGCACAGAGGGGAGGTGCTGGGTGGGGGTCGTGCCCCCGGCCCGCAGGGGGAGGTGCCGGTTGCTGCTCGTGCCCCTGGCCCGGAGGGAGAGGTGCTGGATGGGGGTCGTGCCACGGGGAGGTGCTGGGTGGGGATCGTACCTCCGGCCGGCAGGGAGAGGTGCTGGATGGGGGTCGTGCCACAGGGGGAGGTGCCGGGTGCGGATTCTCTCCTGTGCTGAGCCAGGGAGGTGTCTGGGGCACGTGGAGCGTCGGGAGGCCATTAGAGGGGGAGGGTGGTTGCAGGGGAGAGGCCCCTCTTTCCCCCACGCCTGGGAGCCGCGTGGAGCTTCCAGCCGGCAGCAGCTCCCTGGGGAGGTTCCGAGCAGTCTGACCCCCTGGCAGCCGGGCCGAGGGGAGGCAGCTGCCCGCGCAGGTCCGAGCGAGTGCTGGTGTAGCGGTGAGGGGCTGTGTGGCGAAGGAGCCCGGAGCGCGGAGCCTGTTACGGTGGGGAGTATGGCTGGGCGCCAGCCGCTGAGGGAAAGGGAGGACTGAGGCGCTCGGAAAGCAAGACACGAGGAGAGGGGGAGGGAGGCAGCTCTGCGCTGACACTAAGAGCTGTAATTATATTGTCACTGCTCGAGAGCACGAGTCGGGGGAAAGACTGAGGCTCAGGAGCTGGTGCTGGGATCTCTGCCGGGGCCGCTTCCGCCTCCTCTTCCCGCGCCTCCAGCCTCTTCTTCCCCTGCTCTCCGCCACCAGCTTCCTCCCCAGGCCTGCTGTGGGGACCTGCCTCAGGCTGGCAGCGGCTCCTAGGGACCAGACACCTGCTCTTTTTAGCGGAGTGTGTGTGGGCTGGTACCCGGGCCCTGGCCTCACCGAGCCGGCTGGTTCCCGGGCCCTGGCCT